CAGCGACTGAGGATGAAGCTGTAATCATCCGCCGGCAGTAGATTGTGAAGGGACTTTGGTTTATTTGGTTAGATCAGTCTAGCGTATCAGTGTCAGGGGAGGTGTTCCTGTTGTCCCGATGGGGAAGGCGGATATGGATCCATCCCTGCGCGGTGCCGCGATCCCGTTTGGTGCCTGAGACATGGAGTTGGTATTTATTGCTCACCGAGCACTATGCCGATGCGACTACAGCTATGATAGGCTCATGGCGGCGTCCATATGAAGGCATCGCGTGCCTTAGAATGGCTGCAGCCGTTGCCGCTGTTATTCGCGACTCTGGGTGGGTTCTGCGAAGGTGTATGTATCACTTGGAAAACCCATGTCGGTAGCAACGAGAAGTGTCATCGGTGTGCCTCATGCAGACCTCGTTAGCAAGACCCATGTCGGCTTGCCAGTGCGCCAGAAAGAAGCCACTCCTGTGAATGTCGAGATCGATGAGATGCTCCACCCGACAATAAGCCCCGCAGTGCCGGCACATACCCCACAGGAGCTTCGGCGCCGAGACCCACACCGCCGTTCTGCTCCGGACTGTGCGTCCCGGTCATTGCCCGCTGTGCGTCCGATCCGTGCTGTCGAAGTCCGCAGTCCACTCACCCAGGTGGAGTGCGCCATGGCCCTCGATGAGTGCACGACGTCCAGTCCGAAAAGTCCCGACGACTCAAACCCCAGTCCTCCGTATTGCTCCGCCCTTGACAGCCATTGAACCAGACCAGCATGTCATTGCCAGCAACCCCAGGATGCTGTGGGGGCGGGATCGACGTGAGGACATTCGTACGGCAGCGCGCCCATGGGAGAGATTCCCGACCCCAGGCCCGTTTCATTCCATTCCCGTCGGGGCGTTTCAAGAATGAGCCTTTGGTTGCATTGGCTGCCAGGGCGATCGCTGACTCGCTGGACCACACACAAGATGCGGAGCAACTGCAGCGCCCAAGACATCCAGGCAAGGGTCGAGCCCCCTTTTGTGCTATTTTGACGATCAACTCTCACGATTGGAACCTATTTTTCGAGCGTGGGGGTTCATCGAGAGACAACTCATCGAATGCCAACCCCGTGGGCCGTCCGGGAGAGCGACCTTCGTCTAAATAAAGGCACCTCACCTCCCCTTCTTCGTCTGAGACGCGGACAACGTCCCGCCCACAGCGAGAAGCCAAGAGATAATTGAAACGTTCATCGCCAAGCACACGGCGAGACCGCAGTCTGAAAGCTTTTTTTTTGTTCTCTTTCATCGCCAGACGGATAGTCCCCCAATTGCCGCCGCGATGGCCCCCCCAAGAAACTGATAATACCCAAAACCCGCCAAGCTGCTGCCAAGTCCTCGGGCCACCAGCCGATTGCACCGCCCGACGTCCGAGGCCGAGCCTCAACGTAGACCTCCAAAATAGACAAGACGCTCCTGAGTGTATTCATAGCAAAGGGGTGAGAGGCGGGATGGGTAAGGGGCAAAGATGAACCATACGAGGTTATCGAGCAGAGAGGTTAGGCAATTCTCTGTGAGGCTATCAAATCAACTTGCAGAGAATTCGACAGAAGAGCCATGGGTTAGACGCATTCCTATGGCTCTTTGACGCAGCAATGTGGCCCGTAGCTGGTCTCAGCACTGAGCGTAGAGTATCGTCCCAATCACATCCTAAAGGCAATTTCGTACAGGCCTCACCAGGACATCCAGAACCCATAGAAACGCTTGGCAAGCGGGAGCAACAGTTGCATTGAAGCCCCTGGGCCTGGCCTATCTTGAAGTCGCACTTTACAATTGCCCAAGATGCTAGAGGGCTGGGCTTTCGCATGCCAATGTTGACTGGTCAAGAGCCAAGCAATGAAGTTCCCATAAATATCACACACTTCAATTTCATGGACTTGTCGGACAAGCAGGCCAAAGTATATAATCAACACAGGCGCTCAGCTTCAATCTCATCTTATCCATCATCAACCACCACCATCATCAAGCTTAGTCTTCATCCGAACAGCCTTCAGCCAAAACTGTCAATCTCACCTTCTTCACACACACCATCACCACACACATCAGTCAACATGCGCGGCATCTTCATCACAGTTCTCGCTCTCGTCGCGGCCTCCGCCGCCCAGTTCACCGGCCCTTGCACAGACAGCAACTGCGGTGCCTCTGGCGAAAACTGCGAAGCCGAGGGCCGCCAGTGCTTCCCCTTTCCCAACGTCAACCCCGCGCTCCGCGAGGGCTGCGTCTGTGGTTCTGGTTAGGGCATATCCGACGCTGGAGTTTCAAAAGTGTAAGTGATGTCTGATCATTCGGCCTCAAACCTGTCATCTCATCATCCTCCCAGGTTTTCCGGCCGCCAGCAGAATACATGCATCCTGAAATCACGGGATCAGGACTCGGGCTGGCTTTGATTTGGATTTGGCAGAGCGAAGCGTTTCTTTGAGCATCATCTATTTAGTTTACAAAATACTTAGCGCAGACTAAGAATGGATAGCCGGTATTGTTCGGCGCCAGACTATTTTCAAATTAAACCCCGCCCCAGGCCTCATTCCAGACGGACTCAATCTCGAGAGAGGCTTTCTTCCACTGAAAGCTCGCGATTCGCGCAAATGCAAGTTCCCACGATCGACGAGTCATTTGATGCTTGTGCCGAATCTTGGCTTTCTCCAGCGGACATCATGCCGAGCCTGGACCAGGCCAACACGGCTTTGAGCTTGTCTCACGGGCTTCAGTGAGGCCAAACCCGGCGAGAAGATGCGGAGAAGTGACGATGTGAGATGCGATGACACGAGCCAAGACACTCACTTGCCAGGACTGCCTTGACGAGTCGAGCACATCTTGGACATCTCATCGGCATTCGTTAACCACCATTCACTCACGTTAATTGAATCCAATGGCAAGATGACTGGATTAAGTCTGCTTGAATTGACCTAGGAAGTCTCAACATCCACCCAAGGCCCCATGAGCTTGTTCAGGTCCGTCTCCGAGACATCCCACTCTCTCTGAATGACCTCCTGAACCCACTTGCCTCGAGGTTTCAGACTAAATTTGAACTCTGAGGGCGCCGTCATGAATCCCGCCACCTCCATGGCCATCGAATCGACCTGGCCGACGGGTGCAACCTCAAAGGCCCACAGCAGACTCGCAACAATCATGAAGGTGTTGTCGAGAGCCACCCTCTTCCCCAAGCAGCTTCGTCTTCCATGCCCAAAACCCGCCAACGGAAGGTCCGTACGAAGCTTTCCCTCTTCATCAAGCCACCTCTCTGGAACGAAAGAGTCCAGACCGCCAAGTGACTCGTCAAAGACCTTCTCGTCTCGGCCAATGGCCCAGGCATTAGCAAACAGAGTCGCTCCCTTTGCGATTGGCGTGCCAAAAATCTCGTCTTCCCGATCCGCTCTCCTGGGAATGCTGCCCGGCGCGATTGGCCTCCAACGTATCATTTCCGAAACGATTGCCTCAATGTACACCAGATTGGATCTGTCTGTGAACTGCGGTAGGCGGTCTCGACCAACAGACTGATCCAAGGCAGCGTGTGCCTTCGCCACAAAGCCCGGGTTGGCATGCGCAGCGACCAAAAGCCACAGCGTCTGTCTCGGGCTCGTCTCCATTCCGCCCGAGATACTGGTCGCCAGCGTGAAGGCGAGGTCCAGATCCGGCACAGCCTCAGTATCAGGACTCTTGGCGGCGATAGCGCGTGCCTGCTTCGTGGCGTTCCAGCCAGGCTCGTTCATTGCAGTTTCCACAAGACGAAGGTAGAGATCTCGTTGCTCGACGAAGAGCTTGTTCGCAGCACGGTGCCAAGGGGAGATGAGTGCTGGGAGATGCCTCAGGGGCGGGATGAAGTCGACGAGACTGGGGTTGGCGGCAACGTAGGTTACTTTGTGCTGGACGCGGAGGATCTCTGTGAACAGAGGATCGCTGTGAGATGGCACCCGTATGCCGTAGTGTAGTCCGAGGATGACGCTGGCCTGGGTCCGCTCCAGCAGCGTGTAGAGCTCCGTGCTGCTCATCACCGTCCGTCCACTTCCTTGCACAGCATTGACAGCATCTCTGAGAAGCTGCCTCGACTCCAGCTCCATGAGTGGCTGGACTCTCGGCGCAGCCACGGCTCCCAGGCTCGGCGACAGCATGCGGTGATGTAACTTCAAGTGTGCGTCGTAGTCATGCATCAACGTCATCCTCGACTTGCTTGGCGCCGAATCGGTAATCATCTCCATGCTCACAGAGCTCGGCCGGTTGCTATAGAGGGCACTGCGCTTGCCAAACAGCTCCGTCGCCGCCTCGGCCGTGTTGAGCACCACGAACGGCATGATGCCAAAGAGCTTCGGCGTCCCGACGGGTCCCTGGGCTCTAGTCCATGCATCCCAGTTCAGCATTGGCCTGTCTATGGGTGAGCTGTGGAGGTCACCGATGATGGGCAACTTGAGAGGCTTCGGTGATTTGTCATTTTTGGCCCATCTCGACGTGAGAAACAGGCCCGTCAGTAGAGCGACAGCGACCAGGACGGCCAGAGTCGAGTCCACAGCCATGGCTTGGTGTACGTGAGGCGCAACGAGCAGAGGTGCTGGCACATAATGAGGGAGGGATCAAACGCGGATGGAGCAGCTGCGATTATTAATAGTGACCGCATCATTCGAGTGATGGTGACGGTTGCTGGACGCCTATGGAGAAACCAGCTTGGGCTCTCGATGCTACCCTGCGTTGGTGGTAAGCACGGGATATGCGCCGAGTGAATTACCTAGAATAGGTGAGACGGGCGCAACCAGCCGGGGCTGCTGCATGGTTGGCTGCGGCGAGTGGATTGGTGCATCGGACGAACTGCCAGGACGTGTCGGTGCCCCGCCCCGGAAGCGACGCCGGGTGGGGCCGGTATGCTAGGACGGCGGCCCGCTGGCACTGTTAGCGTACCCGATCAGTCCCGCTAGCATCGGCATTCAAATGAGACTGGACAAATGATTGCAGACTAGGTAGTCGTATCATTACCATTACTACAAACCCATCGCGACTACGCCTTCTGGCCGTATACCACATGGCTGCGAAGTTCAGTTGCTACTCTCACCACCAATCAGGGACATCACTTACAAGTTGCCATAGGAGTGGAAGGTGCCAGCTTTCAGTTCTGCGCGCACCTTGGCCAGCATGACGAGCACCTTCGCCTCGGGCCACCGGAGCACGCCGCAAAAGACGCGCAGGGTGAACGCTTCAAGCCCACCTAGCAGCTGAATCAGGTTGCACATGCCAATGTCTTTGTAGTAGGCATCCTTGGGCCAGGGGCCAATCGGCCACTTGTGCACGAAATGGCGGACGTTTACGAATCCGGCATCCCTGACCCATTGCTCGAGTTTGGGCCCTGGGCGAGACTCGCGTCCTATGCTCACGGTCGCGTCGATGAACTGGTTGTTCCATTGCCAGGTGTGGTGTTCTTCCTTGTAAGAGCCGTCGTCGGACTTGAATAGAAAGTCGTAGTCTTGAAATTCGGCCCATCCTCCGGGGTTCAAGTTGCTGCCACTTGTTAGCGACAAGGATTGCTGTTAGAGGAGGGCGCCTTACTCATACACGTTTCCCACCAGCTTGGGCCAATCGCCGATTGATCCAGCCAAGTAACGACTGAAAATGAAGTCAAACTTGGAAGGGTGCAGCCATGGGCTTTCGACGTCGTCAATCTCGAATTTGACGTTTGGTGGGGTCCTGTCAGTGTTAGTGGGTGGCTTAACAAGCGAGCGGTGTGATGTGCGCACCACTCTGGCTGAATCGCACTCAAGTCGTTGCCGATGACCTGCTGGCCTCAGCAAAGGACTAGCACCGGCTGGTAGAGGGAAAGGACGGACCTCTGCATGATCGAATTCATCGCCCATCTCAATCGCCCCTGAGTAGTTGCCATTAGCATGACTCCAGACTTGCGCAAAGGAGACCTCACAAATCCCTGTGCCGGTCCCAATGTCGAGAATCCTGTGGACCTTCTCCTTCTGTAGCGGGGCCAGGTAGAGCTCCCCATCGAGAGTCTTTCGAATCAACGCGTGGGTAAAGTCGAGGCGGTCGCTCTCATCCTTCAAAGCTGTCAGGTTTGGCTCGAATCGATGGCATCGTCATACCTCGTCGTTGGGGGCAAAGTAAGCTGATGGCCGCTGTCAGCTGCGGCAAGGGATTGAACGAGCCGATATACTCACATCCCGGTCGATAAGCGTGGTACCGCCGACCATGTTCCTCGGGATAATTGAGGACGCTCGAGGTCAACGTCGCCGTGTACGACGATCTCCCTCGTCAGCATGTTTCGCGAACCTGGCAGGACACTCACATGCGTTCGTCAATGGTTGAGTCGGCATCCGCATTCTGGTGCAAGTCAGCATGGTACGTACGCCTAGAGATTCGCACGGCCTACATCATGGTCAACCTCGAGCGGTCGCTCCCCTTCAGCAGAGCCTGGCGACGTGCGAGGGTCATCCGTGTCTTCGCACATCTTGAAACTCAAGCAACAAACAGGTCAAAGTCGGCTTCACCAATGCTGCAAGAGAAGCTTCGGCGGGGAAACTTGAAAGGCGAGCGACGACAGACTTTGTACGGCATCGGCCGCCTTGCTCAGCCTGTCTGCCGCTCATCGAGGGCTGGGCGACCCATTTCTTGATGCAGGTCAGATGCAGAATCAGAGAGGCATTCCTTTTTCCCAGATTCACGCGCCCACCAAGTGATGTGACGTCCGGGGTCGGGAGCTAATCAACGGCTGCAACAGCGGGGCGGCCGGGCAGGCCCCGACGCTTTGATGCATCGAGGCCAATCGCGACTGCCCGCTTCCTTCCCCGGCCTGCAGGCAGAGTTCCGAGGGCGACATGGATGCATGAACCAGCTCAGTAATAAACATTTCGTATTGCCGGGAGGGGAAAGGAGTACGTGTTCTGACGCTTTCTGTCAGATGGAGATGTGATAACATCTTCAGTCACATCAATTGGTATGAGATCTGATGACTCAACGCATCTCTGAAAATCTGCCGGCTGGTCATTGACTTGAATGGAATCGCGAACGCAACGGAATCGAAATGAATTTGACACCAGTTAAGGTGCCAGATTTGTCAACACACAACAAGGTATCAAAGAAGTCGAAAATCGGTGACTTGCGCTCAAGCAGGGAAGGTAACCTTCATGGTTCTCTTGCAATCGAAGAGAAGTTTCCCTTTGCCAATCTCTATCCTGACCACTATTTCGTGAGAGATCAACAACGTCAATCCTCCTCCTCATCAGTGCTGGCTTCTGCCTTCTGACCATACACAACGTGGCTGCAGGTGGCAGCTGTTAGCCAAACATCTCGAAAGGCATTGAGAGAACTTACATTGTAATGTAAGCATGGAAGTCCCCCTTCTTCATCTCTCTGCGCACCTGGGCAAGATGCACCAGGGTCTCCTCTTTCGTCCATCCCATGATGGCACAGAAGGCTCTCAAACTGAAGGCCTCGAGGCCATCTACGTAATGGACCAGGTTCGTCATACCAACATCCTTGTAGTGAGGGTCCTTGGGCCACGGTCCCAAGGGTATGGGGAAGCTTTGGTGAACGACGTTGGTGAAGCCGACATCCTTAACCCAGCGCTCCAACTTGGGTCCAGGGTTCGGGTCGTGACCGATCTTGTTACAGGCATCAATCAATGTGTTGCACCACTTGGTTGTCTGGTGCTCTTCTGTCAGAGTACCATCATCGCTTCGGAAAGCGATGTCGTAGTCCTGAAACTCAGCCCAGCCATTGGGGTTGAGGTGTCTAGGATGGTGTTGATCAGTCCCTTGAACCGTAACAATGAGAGTCATTTGGCGTACTCGTGAATGTTTCTCACCAGCTTCGGCCAGTCTTTGATGGATGCAGCCATGTATCGGGAGAAGATGAAGTCAAATTTGTGGTCGTATACCCACTCACTCTCGACATCATCGATTTCGAACTTGACATTGGGCGGAACCCTTTCTGCGTGTTAGCACTGGCTTGACTTGGTCCTTCTAAGGCGCGGTTGTCTTACCAAGGTGGTTGAATAGCACTAAAATCATTTCCCAAAACCTGCATTTAATCAGTGTTTGCCACAGCTAGAACGAAAATACCAAGAAGACCGTACCTCAGCGTTGGGAAACAGGTCAGACACCTCAACAGCCCCTATAGTAGAGGTCAGTCGCATGATCTTAGCGTCAGAGAAAATCTGAATGCGTACAGATACCAGTTCCCGTGCCAATGTCAAGGATCCTCTGCGTCGTTTCCTGCGGGACTGGGGCCAAGAAGTGTTTTCCGCCGATTGCCTTCATGATGAGCATGTGGTTGAAGTCAAGTCGATCCATTTCGGTCTGTGAACTGATTAATGAACGAGCCTTCTCACAGAGAATTCCCAGTCCCCAGTACCTCATCATTTGGTCCAAGGTATGCTAATTTAGTGTCAGTGGCGCACAAAATCATGCATTGAGAATATCATGAAGACTTAGCTACGCACAGCCTGCTCGAAAGGCATGGTAACGCCGGCCGTTTTCCGTGGGGTAGTCAAGCACGCTTGAGGACAGGGAAGCAGTGTACGACGAACTGTTTTATCAGCCTCCATTAATGAAACATACCCCAGGAGCGCCTACATCCGATCATCGATATTGGACGCCGTCTCGGCGAGCTGATGCTTTCGTCAATAGTCTAGACAAAGTGAAGACCCGAGGATCGAGATTTACTGACGTTTTCAGTATCGTCAGCTTCAAGATTGGCGGGTGTGACAGGTTCGTCAGGCGCTTCGACGTTAGACGGAGCCGTCACGTTGGGGGGAGAGGCCGTGGCCGCTGGGTTAGCCGATGAATCAGCCATTCTCGATATCGAATATCAGTCCGTTGTAAAGAGAGAGTCAAGATCTTGGCGTGATAAAGTAAGTCTGCGAGAGTTGGTACTATTTGTACCGTGAATCGACGTCCTTAAGGGTGAGGGGTCGAGGCGGAGCAGGCCAGTCGCCGAATCTGCAGGCATCGTAAAAGTCGAGCGGTTCCCTTCATCTTGCCGATTCATTGTTTGGTCTTGTTGGTGCAAGGTAACATACAGACGTGCATGCGAACGTCCCATTTTCCCAATTCGTTGGAGAAAATTCGCGTTCGTCCGGGGTCTAGAGCTAATCAACAACCTGTCATCGTTCTAACGGCGGGGGTCCTCGGCGGCACAATCTGCATCTGTTGCATCTGTCGCATATGAAGCCAATCATCGTGATCGGGCGACCCGCTTCGCTTTCCCCGGCCAGATGATGGATACAGGCAACTGTTCCGCATCTTGTGGGTGCAGAAGTCGAAGTAGGGAAACCGCAGGCGATGATCTTCTACCCTTGAGGAACACGTAGGCTTTACCGAAATACGCGCGACAACTTGGGCTGTCCAAACCCCAACCAGAGGGTTCTGGTGAAACGTGACCACGCATCTGTCGGCTCGAGCCCACAATGCAGACAATTCGAGTCCCTCAGACTTCGGAGCCGGGCTCTGGCTCCGCGTGCGGCGGTTCCTGTCATCGTCAGGTGAGCACAAGTCAGACCCGCAAGCTTTCAGCTCCCAACGGCCTGCGTTGGTAAATCAGGCTGTCTTAGATCTCGACTTGTTGCCTATTCTCATCTACCAGATACATTGGAATGGTGAAGACCACCCGTCGTCAGAGATGGGAAATAGTTCAGACGTAATCTGACGACTGAAGTGAACAGCATACCGGAGAGCCTCTCATTACAATCTGCATCATCCACTTACATCAATGACCCCAGATTGAGCGATGATAGTGATCTCACCTTTCTCAATCGTCAATTATTCGGAAACGACTGGCCGTCATTATTCGCCATCCCACTATTCAACGGATCCAGAAACCAGGGAAACCCCTCTGGGTCCCACTCGTTGTTGAACATTGTCAGAGGCGCCTCGCCAAAACTGTCGATCCCGTGCCCAAAGAACCCGCCCAGAGAATCGAGGCCCATAGCGTTGACTGGAGCGGAACCTAGATCTGGGCTCGGCAACAACTCGCTGAACCAGCCGTTCTTCTTGAGTACAAGCCTGATGGACTCGGCCGCAATGCGAGCCTCCCTAGACGAAGACTCATTCTTCATCCAAGCGCCGAGGGAGTTCCACAGCACTGTTTTGATGTCCTCTTCCCTGGCTGAGGCATATTCGTTTCCAGCCGCATGCAGTCCCTTGTACATCGCGCCGCAGAGGGTGATGCAGGCAGTCAGGAATGCATGGTTCCCTATAAGCAACAGCTTGGCTCCCGCAAAGTGCAGCAAGCCCCCGACCATGTTTTCCTCGTTGAGAGTGTGTTGTAGCTGCAGAACAGAGAGACAAGAGTCCAAGCACTTCTTTCGAGAGTAACCGAAGCTATCGCTTGCTTCGTTGAGATACTTGCGGTGAATCATAACCTCACCTATACGGAACATGAGCGCCAAGTACAGCCTGTGCATGATCAACAGCGGCTGATCAGTTACTGACGCCTGCAAAGGCTTCATCTTCAATGGCGGCGGGAGGCTTTCCTCTGCCTCCCTCACCTGCCGATCCACTGCCAGTACCTCGGTGTAAGCAGGCGGCTTGATTGACGAAGAAAGGTCGACGGCAGCCCCAACCGCCACCAGCATGCGCCTCCTCGCGATCAATTGAGTGACAGCCGTAACCTCGGTTTCCGGCCTGCTGGGTGGGATTTCCTTCGTGTCTTCGTCAAAGTCCGAGTCGTGCAGGTTCCGCGGCTCCTCTGTATCCCAGTGGCCCGCACTAATCCTGCGAGGTATGCCTGTCCGCATGGACATCTGGAGGTCGCCCTCCAAACACTTGACCCAGTTTCGGCGTCGAATCTCCCCGGCGAAGGGAGAAATGCTCGGGAAGTGGGACGGATCTCTGTGATAGCCCATCTGGAGGAGCAGATTCATGGATACGCCGTGGAGGATGCCGATGGTCTGCGTGATATCTCTTCGCGACGACAACTCGATGATGACATACTGATAAATGGTTTCCCAGGTGTATTGGCCTCCGTTAGCGTACTTTCCCAGTAGCAGACACTGTGCCGTCTTCTCGCGGTACTGATCGATCAATGCCTTTGGATCTTCTACTTCAGATTTACCGACGAGGTCGTAGGATATGACTGCCATGCACATGATTGAATACAGTAAGCCCAGCCACATGATGGGGGTTTCGGATGGATTTTGACAAAACTCGGCATACTAAAGAGAGTCAGTCTCTGGGCAAGCTGAGCATGGTGCCTGCACAACTTACCTCCCTCATGAACTTGCCGGTATGGAATGCGCCTGTTGATTGAATAAGCAGGCGACACAGCGAAACATAGGGCGTCACAAACCTGATGCCAAGTCCAGAGAGTTGAAATAGTGCGAGATGTAGCGGTCCAAGACTTGTTTCGGAGGGATCGAGTCTAGGATCTGTGCCCTCGAGGCAGATCGTACGCTGTACAGCAGTGGCATCTCCATGTCGTATTCTGGGGCGGGGATCGAGCCGGGAGTCGCACTGTTGGTCTGGATCTCCTCTTCCGCCTCCAAGTGGTCCTTCAACTCGGCGATCCCGTCCAGAATCGAGGCCCAGTGACTGCTCCCAACATACCGAGCTTCAGAAGCGTTCAGCCGGATACTGCCACTCTCAGACGTCTTTGATGATTCATCGCGGGCTTCTATTGGTGTGCTATTGCCCGCTGGCACATGGGCGGTTGCGCTGTTTCCTGTGAGCGCCGTCGACACAGGAGTTTCGCGTGACGGCCCAGGGTCTTCCATCATCGTCACAACCAAGCTCTCAAGCTGGGCCAATCGAGCTTGAAGATTTGCCCGTGGTCGGGCACTTGAAGCATGCTGGGAAATCCCGGCAGAGAGAGGGCCACTATTGGCATAAGTGCACTGAATGCCATGCTGGACGCACCTCTGGCAAGGTTGCTGTCGGTCACATTTCTGTCTGGGGAAGCCAAGCAATGAGCAACCATGCACTCAATTCTCGAAAGTCCTTCGGATACTCACTTGCGTTTGCGACAAGTCTCGCATACCAGCGTGGGTTTGTCTCGTCGGCGGTTTGGCGGGGGGCGCGGCCTCTCAGGTCCGGCAGAGGCGTCCTGGATGGATGACATGATTGCAACGACGTTGAGACAGTTGGGATGGTATTTGGAAGATCTCTGGGCAGTTTTCGCTCCGAGACATCTTTTGGGGAAGGAGATGGGAAGGTCGTCAATCCCAGCCTCCTTCCTGTCAGCGCACTAAAGTACCTACATAAGCGGGTAGATTGGAGCGCCATGCCGCCTTTGTGCATAGGAATCTGACTGCCTACGCGAAAAAGGGGCCTAGAGGCAGCCAATGAGACCAAATTTCCGGAGCCTGCTGATGACGAGGCCATTGATGATTCCCGGTGGGTTCAAGACCGGCATGAAGTCACCTGCAGATTAATCGTGAACACGCCATTGGTTTGCTCGATAGTTCTGATTTCCATCGCAAGCAAGAGAAAGAATATTCCATTAGAATTATCAGTGACCCGAAAGTCCTGTTTGTAAAACAGATCTCTTAGTCCAAGACCTATCTATTGATGCTCCTTTTTGTCTATGCCGTTGAATTCAAAGAAATCATGTCATATAGTCTGCTTCATTGGCGAGAAGCTCACAAACTCGTGGTTGTCTTGCTACGCAGCCACCCTCCGTACCTGTAGAAGAACATCGGGGCGGGTATGAAAGCCAGGGACAAGAAGCCAAGGAGAGTGTTGCCCCAACCGTAGTTGAGCGTCTCATACATCTCTGTGCCTGCCAGAGGAAGAAAAGCACCGAATAGGCAGCGCAAGAGGATGTTTGCGCCGAGGGCTGACGCGGCAGCCTCAGACCCGAATACGTCGACGAGGTAGATTTGCGCAGGTAGCTACTCACTTCGTTAGCAAGCCGATTTTCAATGTTCGGCAACAATTCCCTGAACTTACAATGACGAAGAATGCTCCAAAACCGATGAAAAAGGTACCGATGATGGGGGCAACCCAGTGCACCTGGTAATGCGCGGTCCAGCCATAGATGAAGAACCCGATGGTCATGACGGGAGCGAACCAAATCATCAAAATGAGCCGATGCTCCGGAACCGACTGCCCCTCTGACTTTGTGCGCCATGCCGATACTCGGTCACTCAGTGTGCCAAAGACGACGAGACTTGTCAACTCGCCAATGCCGATGCCCAAGTAGGCCAGACCGACGAGTTCGGCTTTGAAACCGTAGACCCCCTGGAAGATTGGAGTGATGGTTGTGAAGAGGAGGTACAGCAGGCCGAAGACGAGACCGACGTAGAGGGACATGATGAGGACTATGGGAGAGAAGATCAAGAGTTTTCCGGTTCGGACAAAGGCACCGATGAGAATCTGGGACGAGGTCAGGCGGCGGTCCAGCTTCGAACGCAGCTCCTGGTTGCCGGTTTCGCGGCGGAGACGGTCGGCTTTGCGGGAAAGAAGGATGTTGGGGTGGGTTTCTCGGAGGAATGCCAAAGCTACGAGTGAAATGACGCTGCTCTTGTCGAGATGTTAGTATTGTGACGATGGACCCGTCAGCCAGGGGCTGCTCACCATGATGGCCATGAGCCAAAACGTCCAGCGCCAACCCTCACGAGTTGACAGGAAGCCTCCTATGACTGGACCGAGGACCTTTTATCGTAAAGGTTAGCTTCGGTATCTGTGGCCCTTTGAGTGGTCAACATACCGGCCCCATCAGGGGTCCAAGAGCAAACAGCGCTCCAGCAGGACCCCGGTGCTCTGAGGGAATCACGTCCGCGATCGTACCGCCTCCAATGGTCATCGGAGCAGACCCTGCAATGCCAGAAAGCACGCGAAAGATGAGAAGCTGGGCCACCGTCTTGCTCAAAGCTGTACCGACGATGAAGGCAATGAACAAGACATTGCAAATGTGGTATACGATGAGGCGGCCGTGCATCTCGGAGGCGGAAGATATGATGAGTGGGCCCAACGCGAAGCCCAGAAGATAGATCGTGACGGATAGTGTGCCGATGGTTTGGCTGGTGATTTGGATGTCTCGGACGACGTATTCCATGCCAGGCGCTATCATCGTGGCGGCAAGATTGCTGAGGTCCGTGTTAGTTACCGGCTGGACTGCAGGACGATGCAGTGTGACTTACACGACAAGTGACAGCAGAGATACAATAACCACATGTCCGTACCTCAATCTTGTCGACCATTTGAGCGGGTTTTGAGGGTCTTCTGGGCCTTCCCAGTCGACAATATTCTCATCAGTGGTGGTGATGGTCGGGGCATTGGAACCAGCCTCGAGATCGGCTGCTTTTTTCTCTGCATTCGAAACCACCAAGGCTACCGGAGTCTCCATTTCGAGGGACGTATTGATCTCGTCAATGTATCGTCAGTAAATTCAATGGCGTGAACAATTCGATGCTCAAGTTTTGGGTCGTAGATGTGTGGTGATGAGCTGGATGCAGTGAGAGGTAGTGTCACTTACCCGAGCCAAGACGGCCAAGTTAAATACACAAAGCTGGGAATTCGTCTCACCCATACCGGGCCGCTCCGTTACCATCCGCATGTCATCCACCGAGTCGGATGTGTGGACCGACGGAGCGCGGTGTCGGAGGGTCGGTGGATCGGCCGTCGGAGGGTCGGACGGTGAGATTGTGGACCGTTCAACCACCACACGACCGCATCATCGTGTCAGATGCCTTGATCCAGCGGTTTTAAACAGTAAAATGAGGCAAAGCGTGGATCCTTCGGTTTCAAAGCGCGAATGCATTTATAATCTAGGTCTAGTCTACCAAACGCTTCACCCAGCTTTCAATCACAACGCCTTCTCTCGCCCTTGAACCTAAGCAGACGGTGTCAAGTCGAAGTCCGGAGCGGCCCAACACCAAGCAATTTTGCCGTCCTGAAATGAATACGTCGCGATCTCGTTGATCTTGACCGGCTCCTTTCCATCTCCCCCTTTTTGGAGATTCTTATTCTCTGGGACCCCCTCAAGCGTGAGCCTCACAAACACCTGCTGCTTCTCGACGTCCGTCACCATGTCCTGGACGTGATACTTCAGCCCAGCTGTCGCAGGCAGAAGGAACTTCCCAAAGAATCCGACAACGACCTCGCGCGGGAGCGGGTTTCCGTTCATCAACAGCTCCGGAGCCATCATCTGCGGCACGACAACCGCCATCGCTCCATCGTTGTAGCTCTGGATGTAAGTGTGGTATGCGCTTTTCAACTCGTCCGCCGACAACTGTTTCTCCGAGACGGGAGGCGCGGTGGGCGGAACTTTGGCCAAGACAGGGGCATGCGGGTTCGGGCGGGTGTCGATCTTGTAGAAGCGCGAGATCTTGTGATCGTCGTTGAAGAAGGCGAGGACGAGCGCCCATGTCTCGAGTTGTGTCCCATCGGCCCCGACAGTCTTTATAATCTGGCGAGCACCAAGTGATTTCCCGTCCGAGTGAACAGCGACGGCGTCGATTCTGAGTTGGGTGACGTTGCGCTGCTCAATGTCTGCACTGAGGAAACCAATGAACTCGTCGCTGCTTCCATGGTGTTCATTGAATGTGATTGCGTCTTGGAGGAACTTTTTTGCGGCATCCCACTTCTTGAGATTGACTCTGTCCAGAAACTCCTGGAAGACGGAACTGATGCTTTGGGTTGCCATTGTGTGGTTTTACTGGCGAGTCGAGCTAATACTGGATTGCAGAACAAACCTCCCGATCGTGGGCTTCAGCATGTGTCTTTATACTCGATATCCGTTAAACATAGCCTTCTCGGATAATGAACATACTTCGAAAGCGAGAGCCCCGGCCGCATCGTTCGGAGTGGGGATTGCCAGAATTGGGAGTCGGGTCCCGAGCCACACCGACGGGCCGACCCACCCACCTCTGGGCCCCGAACTTTACACCGGCAGCAACGGTGATGAGGGAATGCTGCGAAACTTCTCGGTTGCAGAACAGATATTCCGTCGGAATCTATATCGGAGGCGAGCCGGAATTGAGAGGGTGTTGGTTCGATCGCGAGTCCGCCATCAACCCAGGTTCGTCTCGTGTTCATGTGACGAACATGTTCCCTGCCGCGTGGGAGACTCGGAACGCGCAACCTTTTGGCCAAACTCATGGAGATAGACCATACCGTATCATAAGTGCAGTTGACGAACTCAATTTGACGGATAAAGGTGACCCAATCTCGGAAACATTGCTGCCAAATCCTTGCGTACAAGAGTCACGCCAGTTGAACGTGTCCAGCAATCATCAATCTCTCTCGTCAAACAACAACATCATAAACCCTGGCCGCAAGAGTGCACGCAAGTCTATCCAAACAACGACTCTTTCAATCGCGACAGCAGTGCACAAAGTTCGCGCCTAGTCATCTCATCCCTCGCTTTCGATCTGTCGGGCCATCGCTTCCGTTCTTATCTTCCCCGTTATCAAGTTGGCTGCTTTTTGAAGCAGCTTGTGTTGGGTACCGGGGCTACAAAAACGTCTGCCTAGTTCTCCAGGGAGGTTGTTCATGCATTGGTCGTGAAGCTGGGGAACCCGGCCAATGAGGGGTGGCCTGGGCTTCTCATCACATATGCATCGCTGGTCAGCTTCAGAGGACTTTCGTTGTTGCCTGCCCCAGGCACTCACATAAGTCGAGACAGACGCGTTTGGGGTGGTTATTTTTCTCACTTTGCGCGAATACCTCCAAGTGTGACATCTATCTGTACCGCACTTTCCAACTACCTACTGTTTAATCTAGCAAGCCAGCTGCTTCGATTATGATCTACCTCCTTGAAAGACGACGAGGGGAGGAGTACATAAAGCAACGACGTCCGAGCTCTTTGTCTCCAAAATCTCACCCCTATTCAGACCGATCAAACAATCAACAAGCAACTACATGACACGCATCTTTGCAACCATCTCCAACCCACAAATCTACCCAAACCGCTCACATTGATCATGGCCGCTGCCGTTGAGTCCGCCCCCTACACCGGCCCCTCACCGCGCCACATGATCGACACCCACACTCTCGCTCAGGAGATCATCAACCGCAACAACGACCCTTGCCCGATTCTCGACGAAGACGAGCTGGCTCTCCTCTCCCAGTTCGTCGCCGACCCCTCCAAAGCTGGCGCCCTCCTCGAGGCCCGCGGCCCGGCAGAGGATCCCACCAGTTCTGGTAGCTTGGTGGCCTACGTTATCTCCCTTCACGGCACTGAGAAAGCCGCGCTCACAAATGAGGAAATTACGCTTCTGAAGGAATGGTTCGGGAACGGCCAGAAGGCTTGAGACTACTAGCAGGAGACGATGAATCGCTCGGGTTCGTTCCAACTTTCGACAAGCCTTCAATAGGACTCTATACATGGGCGCACTCTTTCACATTCATGACGACCAGCCTGACTACTGAAATATGTCCAGCACCTCTTCTCTTTTCTGATGGCCACGGCGTTGGTAACGTCCGACCCGGTGTCCATCTACTCTTTTCCCTTCACGATAACCTCCGCGACGTCGGTAACTCCGACTCGGTGTCTATCGATTCGACCTCCTTCGCGATGGCCTCCCTGGCGTCGGCGAAATCCGAGCCAGTGTCCTTCAAATCGACATGCCCAGTGTCATCGTTCGAGATGATGACCTTTAAGTCAGCCTCTCTCAATGTAGCCACTGGCGTGCCTAGTGCCCTGGCCTTTATTGCGACCATCTGCCAAAACCACGAAGATAGCTACCTTGGCGGCCACCTCCATAGTGACCCTCTGTGTGGTAGCCATCTTCGTAAGTGACCTTATAGTCATTGCCATTGCCGCCTCCATAGCTACCTCCGAAACCCACGTGCGTAGCTTCTCGGGCAGAGCCGTAGCTGCCTCTGTGGCTGCCACGGCTGCCGCCAAGGTATCCACCCTTTTTTCTGTGATACCTGAAGCTTCGAGGGCGCTGGTCGGTGTATGTCGACGAGTTGCGGTAACCTTGGCCGTAGTTGGTCCAAGTGCGCTGCTCGCCAACTACTTGCTTGGGGGCTGAAACCTGTTGGCCGCTTAGAGAAACATTAGGCCCGACATCGAAAGCTGGGCTTTGATGCAGAGCGCTAGGTTGAGAGGAGAGCGCAGAGTCAGCTGCACCAGCTGGATACTCATGAACTGACTCCGCTTCTGTGGCACACTCACCCGTGTTCGAGGATGAGGACGCAAGAGAGCTTGTGCAAGCCAGACCCTCGTGAGTTCGACGGGTTTCAGCCTTCTTTTGGCCGTTCTCAATCTTGAGTTTGACGGGGCCTCCCGAGTTCCTGATGCTCAGCAAGATGTGCTCGCCGGCGAATTCAATAACTTGTGGGCTCGAGGCAACAACATGGGTGACACCCAGCCGTTCAGCGAGTTGGCCAAGAAAGTTGGTCTCGTCGGCCGCTTTTGAGGACGCAAACGTTTCGTGACTCACGATGTCGTCTTCTTCCAAGGAAACAGCTCTCTGCAACTCGTCTTTCGAGCGCTTGCGTCTATCCGAGACCGCTCCTGCCGTGACCGTGACAGAGGAAGGTGTCCTGGCGTCGGAAACCGCCAGTGGCTCATCACCAGATGCTGAACGAGCTCTGGGCGAACTGGGAAAATGCAGTGACTCAAATGAAGAAGCTTCAGTCTCCTCATCCAAGTCGTCCACTTCCACGACGCGCGGGTTGAGACTTGGCAAAGGGTCTCGAGCCCTTTGAAAGGTTCCAGCGCTGGCCTGCTGAGATTGGCCAGAAGATTGGCCAGAAGCTGGGGCGTTGCTTGACGATCCGGCGGTTGGCTCGCGGTATCGTCCGAATTCACGCTCATCTTCCTCTTCCAATTGCTCCATGTCAAATACGCTGCTTCGGTAATCACCAACCTTAGGAGGGCGAATCCTCGGGCCTCGACGAAGGATAGAGGAGAGCATGGTGACGTTTGGATCGTTTGGAGGCGTGCAGAAAGTGCTGGCTTGATTGGTGAAATCCTCGCTGAGAATGGAACCGGGAAAAGTGTCGCTGGCGCCTTCCCGGAGAATGAATCTTGGCATGTGAGTATCTTCAGCCATTCCATCGCGGTAGGCGTCGGCAACTCTGCTTTTTTTCTGGACGACTTCTTCATCGTGAGGCTCAAGACTGTTTTGTCGTTTTCTGCGGTACGTCGCCATTTTGACTGTTGTGCCGGCGGTGCCGGTGATGAGTGGGTGTGTGTCGATGGGAAAACAAAGCTGCCGAGTGACTGAAGTTTCCGTTTCTTTGCGGACCTGCCTGGTGCCTCTGCAAACCTTTTGTGGGCAGCTTCTGTCTGATAGAAAGAAGAAGTATGCATACTCCCCTTCCGTTTTCGCCTTATATTTTCTGCTCTACTGTTCTGCACCTCAGTGCAGGTAAATTACGCTTTGTACCGTTTTGCCTAATAGTTAAACAGCACACTCAGCCTGGCAAATGATCGCCTTGAACCCTTGGTTGTAATTAAATTCACGCTTTTCATACGCTCCTCAGAATTTTCTCATTTGCTTCTACTATCTTTGCCTTTACTCAGGGGAAAAGGACTTCTCATATAACACTTATCCATCTAGCCCTCTAAACTCTTGCGTTTATGTTCAGCCCCATCGTCACATTAAGACTGCTATCATGTCTATCTTTGCATCCATCACCACGCCTATTGCTATACCTATTACCATACCTGCTGCCATGCCTGTTCCGTCAACAAAGATGGAAAGTAGTTAGCGATAGCGAACAGCTAGTGAGTGCAACGGCTTCCTAACTCGCTCACATGCGCTATAAAATTTAACGGGCAGATATTTAAGATTAATAAAATATCTCGAATTGGAATGAGAGTTGATCATGACAGTCGTACTCTCTTGCTGTCACCATCCTAAATGACACCTATGATCACAGCATTTATGATCCCTTGCTGACCGAAGCACAACATGAGGTGATCGTAGGTAGCGGGCCTAATGCCTGCCTGTCGTCTTAGGTGTTACCTCTTGGTTATCTATTACATATTTACCATTCGTAATCAATTTGCACGAGCCACGTTGCATCGAACGGAGCGTCTGGCGGAATATCTATTCTTCATACTCAATCTGACATACTCTGCAGCCCAATCTGTCTTAGTGCTTCCTAGCCTGGTGAACAACACACACGGTACACCATGTTCTCAGCCCACGCCCAACAACTCTAACTTTCGTGGCTCATAGACTCACGCCACTCTAAGAGCTGTCATTCTTTGGGCCGGTCAGTCCGTCAAACCAGAGGTTGTGATCGTGTTGTTCCGGGCTGCACTCATGCGGAACATCCGAGACCTTGCATTCAGTTTCCAGAGACCGAGCAAGCCTGTCCTCGTCATCCTTCTCCAGCTTGTTGAAATGAAGGCCCATGAGTGCTATGGTCCTCATGCCGTATGTGCGAAAGCTTTCAGCAAGCCAGTCAGCTAGCTGGACGTGTTTGTTCGCGGGCCGCACTCGTAGATGGCGGCAGTACTCCTTCAGTCCCACCCAGATCATGACGTAGTCATCTAGAAGGTCCTTGAAATTGTCGTTCGGGTTCCTATGGAAGCATAAGAGATACGTCTCTCCCTCATAGTCGAGCCAGGCAATCTGCAGCGCCGGGTTTATCTTTCTGTTTGCAAGCTGGATATGGCCAGCGCTCCGAAAGAGACTCGTCTGTTGAACATTGGACGGAACTTTCACGGCAAAGCCCTCTCCGGGCAGGCTTTGCTCATCCCGAGGGAGGAAGGCCTTCTGGAAGAAATCCTCTCGCTCCTTCCTACCTCCGTCGATGGCCTCAGCAATCCAGTTGGGGATATTGAAGGTCTGAAGATCCTTCTTTCTGTTGAGTACACTCCAGACGATTGGCTGCTGGGTGTTGGTCGCCTCAGGGGCCGACGGGGCATTGCTTGCATTTGGCTCGAGTTCGGCAGTGTTCTCAACATGGGAGTTCTTGTTCATCTGGGAGTTTTGCTCGGTGTCTGACTTCCTCTTTTTGTTGGCGGATGCATGCTCTTCTTGCTTAGAATCGGCCTGGTACTTGCGCTTCAAGTCATTCTCCTGCTTTGGGTCGGAACCATCCTCCTTCTCAACGTCCTGGCTCTCCTTCGGGTTCTCATCCTCCGTCAGGTTCTTCTTCTTCAATTCAGTCTCTGGGTCGTGATTGAAGATGGCAGCGTTCTCGTTCTCGATGTTGGCCGCAATCTCAAGCCACTCGCGGTAGCCATCGTCGAGATCTGCCTTCTCTGCATCCTGGATGATGACAGGGCCAAAGTCCTTCGGCCAGGTGTTGTTGTCGTACAAGTCTGTCACAGTGTCAGCGAGATAAACCATTGATGATGTAATGAACTTACTCAGCGAAAATGCGCAGAACTTCAGGACCTGGTGGACAACGTATCGCCGGGGCATCCAGGCGAGATGCTCGGTGCTGCGGGCCCAGCCGTACACCTCGTTGATACCGCGCTTCCACATCTTCTGGATCTCAGGGCTCGAGAACTCCTCAAAGGTCTTGGTGTAGATTGCGACCCAGATTTCTCTGGTGACACAGCCGTCTGCGGCATCCTTGGGCGTCCAGTTCTCGGCGCGGTGATCGCTCTTGGTGGGCTTCTCGCCCGAGTCGGGGTTTGGCTGCGATGATGACATTTTGTCGTCCTTGCTTTTTCATCGAATTCACAAAACTCCGTGTTGTTGACAAGAATCAAGACCCCCCCCCCAAAAAAAAAAAAAAAAAAAAAAANCCCCCCCCCCAAAAAAAAAAAAAAAAAAAAGTCCCAGGTGAGAGCGTGGTCAGTATTTTCGAGACTCACCTGCGTTTGCTGCTTCTCGGTCGCCGGCCCCACAAAACCGGTGCTTGGCAAGGGGACAGGGGTGGCCCGTCCGGCGTTCTGACCAATCAGAAGACAGGAGTGACCTTTAACGAGAACAACATGCCGCTCAAGCGCAGTCACCACGTCTTTCTTGCTGCTGTTCACCGAATTACAGAAGCTTTATGATTCTAGGGCTTGTGGGCCCTCGAAATGCCTTCTAAGGGAGAAAGAGAGAGATCGCTAATATCTCCATGTGTGCATTCGTGTGTACTGAATAAATTTCAAGTTTCACTTCGGTGTAAGACGGCGGCAAGTGAACACGATAGTACAAACCGCGGCGGCAACAAAGACGACGTCTCGTTAAGAAAAGACGCAAAAATATTCAAAGTACTTAGAATTATACAAACTCATGCATAGGTATGGAAGGAAGGAAGGAGTGGGTTATAGAAAATCACCTTCCCAGGCGCTCCGATAAGCGCCAGAGGTCTATCGGGGCGACTTATTAGGGCGGCTCTTTGGTATCCGCGTGGAGGGAAGGGTCAATTTCAATGGCAATGTGTATTCTCTAACTATGTACTGCTATTTGTCTGTAATGTCTCTCAGCTGCAGAAGCAGCAAACTTCTCTGCTGGCTGAAGTCGCGACAGGGCGAGGGAATCGAGTCTGAGACCGAAAAGCTCAATATTTGGGGTATTCCAAGGGGCAACCTTCTCCATTCACATCTTTTTGGCGGTCTCGTTGTCGAGGAGGGTAACGGCCGTTTTTGCGGGATGTTTGACTCGGGGTTCTCGAGGAAATCCAAGTCACATCATGTCGACGTCGTCATCGTTCACCTACGACAACTGCGACAGGTTCTGTGAGACGGCCGGCACGGAGCTGGTGGGAGCAGACGCATCCTTCATCTCGACATCTTCTTTGTTGATATTCAAGGGGGTGGGGGCGACGGCGACGGGGGGGCGCCTGCGCGATCTGGGCCAGGGACGGAAGCCGCTCATATCGATGACCCTCCTCTCTTGAGGATAGTTCTTCCGCAACTCGGGATTGACCATCTCGTAGACGCAGATGGTTCCGTCGCCCTCTTCCTTGCGTGACATAATCTCACAGATCTTCCGGTATTCGGCGCTTCTTCGTCCCTCGTCGCAGGCATCTCGGCTCTCTTGTTCAAGGTCGGTGAGAGGAGGCAACCGGTGCGCCCGCGTTCGGCTGTAGTAGAGGCAGTACGTATGGCCGTACTCGGCAATGTCCCACTTCATGTCGGCGTAGGGGGAGGGAGCCTCTGGGTAGATGTCGTAGCCGCTTGCCGCGAAGAGTCGGATGCGGTCCCTCTTGTCCTCCTCGTAGATGCCGGCTCCTCTGAGTCGGACCGCTGCCGTGAGGTTGTACTGCTCATACTTCTGTTTCTCCGGAAAATCTACGCCATAGGGCAGCTCGACGTTGAAGGAATGGAGAGCGTCCAGATGCTTGTAGTCGAGGGCTGAGGGGGTGTATCGGACTCTAATGACCTCCGGGCACCAGGCGAAGTGGAATCGCTCTTCAGTCTCCGTACCCTCGAGCGGGAAGGAACCACAATATTCTTTGATGGCTGCGGACACGTCAAAACCGGTCTTTTCGGTCCTGGCGTTGTCAATCTCGATGACTTGGGATCGGGGTGACTCTGCAGCTTTCCATTCGGCGTTTTCGCTCTTCGCCATCATCGAACCAAAAAGGCGATACGTTTCTCGGTCCCAGAGGGTCTTGCTCATCAACTCCGAGTGGTTCCAAAAGTCAAAGGAGTATTGGTTCTTGTAGTTACCATCCGCCTGGACCATCTCCTTCTTGAGCATCTCGTACTGTTGGCTTGTCTGCAGGGGCACCGCCTTCCATGACAGTCGCAGCAGCGGGTTGCTCTTTTCCTCCCGCAGTCTACTCGATCCGGGGCCCTCCAGAGTTGGGATAGCCTCCTTGTAGTCGGTGATGCCGTTGTTCATGTGTCTTGCCAGCACCATCATGCAAGCAATACCTGAGGTGTCTCCCGCCTCCTTGCACTCTTTCGGCCAAAAGGCGTGGAGGTAGTGTCGAGTTCGGTGGAGGTAAGCGGTCTTTTCCGCATCGCGGACATCTCCGTTGTGGCCACCACCCCAAGCCGCGAGGCTCTGCTGAATCGGTATCATACTCATCGCGAGGATTTTCGTGGTGTAGGTACCGTGGCAGTGTGTTGTGTGGTGTCGTGAATAGGAAGTTGCGAAAAGGACGTTGACGTGGTAGGTCTGTATTAGAAGTCAGATTCTCGCTTGGCGTTGCTACTCCGTGCTTCAGTTTGGCCACTGGCCGACCGAAAAGGGTCTTGCAAAGTCGCTGCATGTCTTACGCGTTGAACAAATTCTTTGTTTACTTTTTTTCTGTGGACTTTTCCCCTTCAGGGTATTTCAGTTTTGTCGTATTCTCTTTGACCCAACTTCACACTCTACATGTTCAAAAAGCGGCTGAAGTGAGACTAAGATCAGGACAAGCACCTGGACAAGAAGGCGAGGACATTCTTGAAAGTCTGAGCGAAAGTCAGGTGAGAGTGAAGTGAGCTTGGTCCGGCCAAGGTCATCTTCTCCCAAATACAAGCCCGTACTTTCAGGTAGTGAATAAGGATTATAACTACAAGGAAATTTTGACATACTGGACTCTTAATTTAATAGAAGTAATGCAATCGTCAGCCATCTGATTAATACTAGCATTTGTGCCTATTTAAGAGCCCAGTGTTGCTGAGTATAACATAAACGACGCGAGAGCGAAGGTGAGATTCCGGCCCCCCATATTAAACTGTTAGGAATACATACGCCTACTATTATCTGTACAGAACAGCATCTAGTACGATTCGCAATTCGGGTTTGTGGTACCTTTTACAATCTACTGTTGTTTGCACGGGGTACACTGGCGACTTATAGAGGCCTCAGTGAAATGCCAAGCTAGTCTCGCAACATCAAGTAATCCGCCAGCATCTATAATTTGGGCGTTCAACGCAATCATGCAGCTCCCTTAATATCGGCGTCTGTGAAATCAGCCAGTCAGGACATGACCCACAATCAACATTTGGAGCGACTGAAATATTGCGTCTGGGGGAAGTTGCCACGCGTCTAGGTATCTTGCAAGTTATTCGGATACGTTGGACACTGAGCTTCAGGGTCTCAAGGTATGGGCAGGTGGGTTCTTGCCTGCCTCATTCCTTCCATTAAGCTCTTTGTTAAGCCAGCAGGTGTCTCGCTGAGCTCAACTTCAGTTCTGCTACCCAAACACGCATGGGCAGCTGTCGATCCACTTCAAAGGGAGGCGCACAGCACTCACGGTCGTCCTCCTTCCTCGGCTAACTTTCCGGCCCAGAAGTACCTGCCTTCCACTAAGTGCCAGATATGTCTGTAGCCATCTACCACTTTACCTCCGAAGCAGCGATCTACTCTGGCCTAACCGAAACAACTCTGCCTCACTGAGTTGACCCGACACCAGCGAGTCTTCGCAGATGCTCAACCAAGCGAAGCTGCTCTTTTGTCGGGGCAGAGCGTATGGCCAACAAATCACGAATACGAATCTAAGATACGTTTGCATTGCCTTTCTCGGCAAGCCCAGTGTTATTGTGCGATCCAAGGCGGCTTCCGCCGCGGATCGAGCATCCGGATATCAGACTTTGCGAAGTTTTCGACGTGAAGACATCGTGTTCTTCGGAAACATCATCTTACACGAGTATTTGTCAAGCTAGACAACGTTCGGATCGTACGCTAATGATTGTTCCAGGCACGAAGCACCATGCAAGGCACATGGATTCAACCAGAGCAGCCCCCACGATATTTGCGTCCCTGTTACCAGGCACCTGGATGCCTCCCGCAATCAGCATTTGGATCGAGCCACGCCACCACCACCAACATTGTTCGTCATCCGGGCCGCTAGTCCCCTGCAAGCCAATGGCGTCTGACAGCGGCCCATCGAATCTCCGCGTAGGCGACCGCGGAGCCGGGCGATCGACGTGAATTCTATTTGTCGGAATGCGAGAAGCGGATATCGAGACGCGGCGACTCTATGGTACAGGAGACCGAGCCTCGTCATCCTTGAGCAGTTGCCTCGGGCGGACGCAGGTCCAAGGGTTCGACGGTGAGTCCAACTTGTGTACTGCAAGCACCAACACGTCCGACTGCACCGTTGGGATCGCATATTTGGTGCCAAATGTTAACTAAGCAGCCACAGTGCAGGTCGGGCGATATCCTCCCATAGTGGCTAGACGCGTATCGTGCGTCGAAGTAGCTGCTACTTGGGATATGCAGCGTGTGTCTTTTTCCCACAAACACCAGGCCAGAGTTCCCATCTGACCTGTCAAACCCCTCTGGGACGTGGCCGCTGAACCGACTCATCTTCAACGGACCCCAAACTCGACGCCGCTGATCCCCTCCAACGGGTGTCCAATCCCTTTTCCCACACGATCCCCTCGCCAAACCACGTCAGATCTCGTCGCTCGTTCCCGCAGACCAATCAGAGTACAGAAAGCATCAGGGCGGAATTGAGTCTCGGTCACATCCGCGGGTCTCCTCCCCCCCTTTTCGGGAGTGGCAGAAGTGGCAGCGGTGCCAACGGCTGTCCCCTCCGGAGCTCCTTCCGGAGAGAGGCCCCGGTTTCGTATCTGGACCAATACGGGCGCGAAGCGTCTCCGCACCACGATCTTCTCTCCCCACAAAATGTTTCGTTTCAAAGTGCGACGGTACCGGAGCAGCTGCACCGCCTCAGAGCCCCTCGACCCCCGGCTCCGCGGCAGCCACCGAGCGCCAACCCGGGATGGGTACGTACTTGAGCCGGGGGCCACAGACGGCAGAGGCGATCCCCACCATCCTCTTTGGGATGCTCAGCCGCATTTCAGGCTCTCATCCCTGCCAGCTGGAGTGGCAAGCCACACCCTCCCTGTCTCTCAGTGTCTCCTTGCAAGGCAGGGATCGAGCATCTGGCACACGCTTCTTTGCGTCTGTGACATCGTTTTTGTCCGTCTCCGAATGCCGACACGGGAGGCGAGTGTCTGTTGGCACGAAGATCTAGATGTGGGCATTGCAAAGTTAGGCTCACAATCGCATTTCTGCCCATTTGCAAAGTTCTTGCTGGCCGGCATCGGTCTGCCACGCCCAAATACGAGAAACAGAAAAGTTGAATCCACACGCAGAGCAAACTTCCCCCTGCTGATTATGCGCACAGCGAGCCCGTATCCCTCATGTAACGCTTCATGCGCCGCGCAAGGCTAGATGCAAAGCTGCAAAACGCTCGAGCTGGGTTCTTACTACTACAACTCTCAGGAGCAAAGTCAAAATGCCCAAACCCTTGGAAGCCTGTTGTGCTATTTAGCCCTTCTGGAGAAGGAAAAAAAAAAAGCTCTTCAGCTCAAACTTTGGCCTCCAACACGACCCCTACAAACGCCCATGCGACGTTACTCCCAACGCGCTCTACCCCAGGACGCGTAACTCACACTTCCGCGAAGCCTCAAACAGTCCAGCGCCAGATGGTGCCATGCCCAGTAACCATGGAGCACCAACCACCCTCCCTCCGCCCGACCCTTTCCCTCCATCAAACGTGATAGCTGCCAACCCAAATTCTATATATCAAATAAGGGAAGCCTGGCTTTTAGGATTTTTGCTTCTTTTTTGTTCAACAGCCGCTGCCTTGCAGATAGGTAAATCATGGTTACCGAGCCCGAGGCGCTTGTAGCTCGCTACCCTTGGGGTCGTTTCCCATGGTGCCTCTCGCGTCTCGCGAAACGATATCCGGAAACCTCTGGCCTGGACTCGGGGACCGGTTGAACCCATCTGGCCGCCGTTACATCTGTCTTGCCTGTCGACAGGACCAGAATTGCCCCGGCGTTCAGACGTTCCCGTCCGTGCGAGGAGCGGCAGCCAAACCAGCACCCCTCACGGGCGAAGGGCCGACTTTTTGGCAAAGTAGCAGTTGGTCCGTGTTCTGGGCCATGGTGGGGGACTGTGGGATGGAAATGTGGTGTGCATGTTACACACGGAGCCGTCACTCCTCGCGCAACGTGTAAGCCGGCTCTGCCCTGCCTCGTCCTTGGGTTGTTCCTACCACCACACCGACGATGCAGCAAACGCACCGCCTCCCGGGGCGGGCAGCAGGCAGTTGGCAGACCATCAGCACAAGGCCCGCTCAGACTCTTCTTGGTCAGTGCCACCACCACCCGACCGCGCAGTACCCGACGGACGGACGCATCGATCCATGAACCCGGCCTTCTAGAACGTCCGCCTCATGTTAAAACCCCCCTTCTTGAGTTCTCGCGCCAGCGTTCGCGTGTCTTGTCCGTGTGTGAGCAATGTCTGGTGTCGGTCGGCCGTCTCTGTTACAGCCCGCCCACCTCTTTTGTGTTCTTCGTTTTCCTCACAGTTTTTAAGGCTAGGAGGCCAAGGGGTGTGTGGTGGGCAGCAGGAATCTAGCTCTACAGCCCTCCATCTAGACCACTTACACGATCTGTCTTGGAATCGTGACGGCCAGATACCTATTTAGGAAATTGGCAGCGGTCGATATAGCTTCAACGCAGCGCCAAGGATGGCATTCGTTTGTTTCTCTTTTCCAGCTTGCTGCCTGACAGGTAGCAGTCGTTGCGATGGCATACTTGGCACTCTCTCCTTCGTCTTCAGTCCTTGACCACCGTCTCGCCCAGCCCAAGCCAAGCTCCTAACCGCATATTTTGCTTTTCCACCGTCATGCCTTGCATGCAGAGTGCTGACTTGAAAATGCTGATGCTCTCCTGACTACTACCCATCGCAACCTTCGCCACCCGACTCGACCGACCGACCGACAGACCGGTCTCCGGGACCCTTGATTTTCTTTTTCCTCTTTTTTTTTTCTGCCCTCTCATCGTGCGTGCCCGTCTGCATGCATGCATCTCGACGACGACAAACTTTTCACAAAAGTCTGAACCTTTGCCTTACCCCAGCTGTGCTTGTCAGAACCCTCCTTCTTTCCGTTGATGCCCAAAATAGAGGGGCGGGCCCTTTGGGGTAGAACACCACCTTGGCCAACCTAACCCGTGCCCCCCCTAGGTCTCCCCCAAAAGCTGAGAAAGCTGAAGATGCAATGCATTTGGAGGGGCAGATCTTGTCCCGATTTCCCAACAATGCGTGAACATGCAAGCATCCCAACTTTTGTTTCTCTT